AGAGAAAGCTGTGCAGAAGAACGTGGATGCAGGTCTGTGGGAGACTAGGAATGTATAAAGAGCTGCGTTCTATGTGTCTGTTTGACCGAGTCCGGGGCTGAGCTACAAAGCAGCTTCGGTACAAAATTCTGCAAAGTGCACCTTTTTTTTCTGTTGTGCGGTGGTGTGGCTGTGGTTATTTGTGCTTTAGACCGTAACCGCTGTGAAACAATCAGAAAATAATGTTTGGACCCTTGTTCCACCGTCGCAGCTTTCAGTTGAGCTGGGGAGGAGGGGCCAACTTTGAGTGGCACGTTTACAAAGAGCAACAGAAAAATCTGCACAGTATGCCTTTAACTAATAAAAAATAAGGCTAAATATTCTAGATTTTTCCTATTGCAAACAAATAGCATTATTACTTAATACAGTAATTTTCTAAAAACAGCTGGTCACTGTAGTCTTTATCAAACAGGAGGAAATAGTGCATTTCTTGGGGACTATTTTCAACAGCATTCTGCCAATCCTGGTGCTGTGAATACTCACAATGTTAGTGTATGACCTGTGTGCTTTCACGGCGTTCACCAATAGATCAACCTTCTCCGTGTTCTGCGGAAAACAGGAATAAGAAAGGAACGTTAAGACACACCTTACAGTAGGTTACAGTATAACAACGGTCAAATATGTTTATTTAAAAACTTGAGCCTGTACGTGTGACTCCAAGTGCTATCAGATCCTGACTGCTGTATCACTTAGTGTTATTATACCAAGGCCACACGGCTGTCAGAACACTGGATATCAACAGTAGCGCAACATTTCTATCACTCCCGAGGAGTTTCGTTTCATTAGTCAGGCAAAAAGTGTGTCGCTACAAGTAGAAGTTTTGTATTCTAAACTTTACTAAAGGTAAAAGTATGTAAGCATGGCAGCAAGAAGCAGTGTTTTACTATTATATGTGATGTTTTTGGATTTAATATTACTGCTGCGTTCATTTTACTTCACTAAATGTATGAAAATTAACTAATGTATTTAATATATTGTTGGTCAGTTCTGGTATTGGTACCCTACCCAATAACCCAATAAATTTGTATTTATCAAAGACCAAAAGTGACTTAATTCCAGGCCTGTGATTGAAAAAGCCCGGTATTACCATGTCAGAGAGTTCTGGTTTTAATCTGAGTTGGTCAATTTACTGCCAGAACAGCTGCTGTAAATACAAACACATTCCATTAAAATATCCGCTCTCGTCTGACCTGTTTGCCGGGCTCGTCGAAGGCCTTGACGAAGGCGGCCGAGGCGCTTGAGGCTGATCGGATAGTGTCGGTACGGCCCAGTCTGAACATACGCAGGGAGGCGCTCTCATATGTGGCACAGCAGCACTTGTACATCCTGCCGACACAAGAGGAGAGAGGGTGTGAGAACAACTCTTACGTGCTTGCTGTTGCCTGTAGTCATCATGGCCTTTGTGTATAAAGCCACTCAGAGAAAAATACTTGCTGACGTGTGTAGAAAATTCTCAGAATTAAGTGATTTCTTTAGAAATAAGAATATATGTCATGCATAAACTATTTTGAGTATTCAGACTTGGTCTCAGCTCCCAAATGATTTCAGAGGGCTCAGGAGTGAACAGCAGATGGCAGTGTTACAACACAGAGGCACAGGACCACGCTGAGAAGAGATTTGGGAGATGTGTGATGATACAGTAAGTTGGTCTATCACAACACCCATCATACCAACACCACATCAAATAACTCAGTCAGAGAATGTGCTATGCTTGTAGTGGCTAATGTAGCCTGGAGCCTCTAGCAGAGATGGGGAGTGGGCTACAGAGGTCTGATGAGCTCACTTCTTCCTGACTCTACACCTACACTCTAAACCTGTAGTCTTCAGACCCAATCCACGCTGCCTCAAGTGACAACTCTTGAACACAGCTCTGTCTGGAGTCACAAAAGGCAAATTGTAGTCCTTATTTTACGGCACCTGGGAGTCACTGCAGTCAGCACAGAAGAATCACACTTAAACTTAAATCCTAACTCTAATACAGCAATCCCACCAAACAGACATCAGTTTCAGTTCAGTTCAAAATTCAATGCCAAGAGGTGAATAGAGCAAAACGTAATTTTGCGTGAGTGGGAAATACAAAATATGGGAAGGAGCAGAGGGACAGAGCTTAGAGGATTTATCTTCACTTTCTTCTTTTCGGAATCCATTTGAACCGTTTATTGACATTAAATCACAGTAAAACCTGTTCATTTTAGGCTCATACCACCGCTGTAAACCAGATTAAAGGAAGAATAGTAAAAGTCCCATGCTTTCTGATATGACAGTTCACACTGAGGTTGCATTGCAAAAAATCTTGTACCACAACAGACTTGAAAAAATCAGATTATATAGGAGTCACGTGAGTAAAATAATTTAGATTTGGGCACACTTGTGTGCATATAGCCCAATGTAACCCTGTCACTGACAACCATTATGTCACTCATGCTTATCACATCTGTTAGCTGTGTTAGCGAGGTAGCTAGCAAACTATAGTTTGTCAGTAGCGTAGCAGACTGAAAATAAGAAGCCTTATTCCTGCATCTATTTCAAATTAAAAGCTCTCTAGTATTCCAGTGGGCCTTCATTTCTTAACCAGGCTTTTATCATAAACGTGTTGTGAAAAACTCAATTGACTGGCAGCTTTTCTCTCATTCATTATGTTCCACCTGGGAGCGGCTGAGTCATGGGCGACATCTAATGGTAAAAGCCAGCCCAATCCTATTTAGTACCATTATTTAGATCATTACATAGAATTTTATACTGTACATATCAGCCCAGATCATTGTAAGTAACTGAAAAATGGGGGAATCCAGCTCAATTATGGATATAAGAATCTCTGTTGCAGCCTAACTCTGTGATCAACATGAAGCCCTCTAGGTAGCACCGGTTTGGGATGTAAAGAAGTCTGCATACAAAGGCAATCCACCTCCAGAAACTCACCTGTAGTAAGCCAGCTGTAAGGCTATCTGTATGAAAGCATCAGGGCTCATCTTGTGGGCCTTCGGGACATTTTTCCCAAAGTGGCCAAATACTATGACTCTCATATCCAGGTCTTGGGCCAGTCTGTGGAGGGAGGAATGTCAGGACAGTGAGACCAGTCTATCTCGGTACTTAATGATATGAAGTATAAATATGTGTATACCTATTGTGCTGGTGTAGTTATAAAAATCTGCCCTCACGTGTTCATGTGGTGCTTGGCTTCCTCAATGTCCTTCTTAATCTCAGGCGTGATGTTGAAGTGCAGTTTCCTGGGCATGTGCAAAGGGACCATGGGAGACCGAACCATCTCTGGCTTCCTCCTGTTATCGTAAACAAGAAAGAGAAGAAACGATACACGAGAGGGACCAAAAACAAACCCATAAGTCATACCTCATAGTTCTGTGATTTTGTTGTGAGTCTCTCTGTACTCTCTGTCTCTTGTTACTGAACTTTCAAAGATGTTGTAACCAGAAAAACTCCAAACAGACACCTACTGAGCCAAAGCAATCTGTGACCTACTTACGTGTATTCTACAACGTGGTCGATCAAGGCCACTATGGGTGGGCCCTCAGCTGGGGCATGCTCGTAGTTCGCACCGCACGTCCCGTCCTCTCCAATAATAAACTGACAGAAAGATCACACAATTGTTGAGAACAAAACATAAAACAAGAATGTATTACAGCCTGAGGAATTTGTTGAATGTGACCAATAGTACCAATAGTGTTTACAATAAAAGTTCCTAAGCTATTTTCTTTTTGGGCTAACAAAACTCATATCCTCTGTGACTCTGGCACACATTTGTCTGTCCTCAAAGACATTCATAGCGTTGCACTTGTTTGTTCACACGAAAAGTGTGAAAAAAAGAGAGGTAAGAGCAAGAAAGGAGTTTGAACTCAGTCAAACTGTCTTTTTTTCATTCAATACACAACTATTTTATTGTGTTACAGGTAGTTACTGTGAAACCAGCCGGGAAAAAAACAATGCCAACGCACACATAAAGGAGGATTAATAAAAGGTGTTGGGTGTCTGTGTTCAATTCGGTGTGTCCACCTACCAGCACTTATTTTAGTGAGAAATCTTAATTTCTAAAACAGACCGCCACTCATTTCCACACTCTTCTTCCAGTGAAAGAGCGCAGCTACAACGGAGGCTGAGCGTGCTGAGGCGACAAAAAGTAAACTTTGTACAGAATACAGTTTATCTTTATGGATTAAGACTTTCAAAAATAACAGCCTTTAGCTTGTGTTTTTACGGACATGTTAGGAATTGTTAAAATGTAATATTTCTTAAAGAGAGTTTGGTGCAGGGAGCTTTTAGTATAATTCAAACTGATAATTTGTATAATCTTATTTACCGTTTTTCACCACTACAAAAACACAAGGTTACTGTTAAAGTACGACACTGACTGCTGTTAGTTACTAGTTTGATAAATGGTTTAATAATATGTGTTTTAACAGATTTAAATAGGCCTGACTTACAGAAGTAAGCCTGGTTTCACTGGTAATCTAGCTTTATGAAACACCCCGCGTGTTATGTGTGTACTAAACCACAGATGTACATAAAGCCTTTCTATTGGGCTAAAACAAGTCGAAAACAGGACCTTTCCAGGACATTTTCCAGGAGTTTTTTCTTACAATCCAGGACAGCACTTGCTCACAACTCACTCTGACTTTTCCAGAGCAACTTAGAATATTTCCAGGATATTTGGTCATTTTAATCAATTTCCAGGTGTTTTCATGACTGGAAATCTAGTCTCAAATTTCCAGGTTTTCCAGATTTTCTGATAGAACACAGAGCTGAAGCCTGAGCCGATACAGAGAAAGTGGCATGTGTTAAATGCTAGCTGCTGAAACATTAGTTGAGCTATTGCTGATAACCGCACTAAGGGAAATATGTGTGTATATAAAGCTTGTGTGGCTGACCTGCAGCGTCTTATCAAACCAGCGGTTGCCACTGTTCCACTGGCTGCCTCCTCCATGCAGCATCTGGATGGCGGCAGAGCTGCGGTAGGTATCATCAGACACTCGAGGCATGGCTCCGTCCAAACACAGGGCGAAGATGCTCCTTTGGATAGCTGACACGGATTCTTTGTTGGTCTTATCTGGACACACCAAGTAAACAAACACAAAGCAGTCATGGTGTTATTATCATGGTGTTATTATGTAATCCGGCTGTAAAAGTTGAACTAATCGAACATTTTTACATACTGTATCAACATTACTTCTAATTATAATTCATGCTTAATCCCTGTGTGCAGTTTTATTTTACTGCTTTTCAGATCAGTGTCGGTCGTCTTTGAGCTCACCCTTGATGAGGTTGACGTAGGCCTTGCCCCAGGAGTCGCGATGGTGGGTGGTAAGGATGCCCACAGGCTCCACGTCGGCCTGCGTTGAGGAGCTGCAGATCCTCTCCAGCTGAACGCAGAGCTGATCGGATGTCAGTGGAGTTCCATCACTGTTGTACACATCCAACACAAAGAACTGATTCCGAGAGGAGGAAAGACGAGAAAAGGCTCAGTCAGGTTTCTCACTTTTAGTGGAAAACTGTCGGTTTGTCAGATGTAATGACAACTGTAAGCTTTTGGCAAATGTTATTGTATGGTTCTACACTGGAAATGACCTGAAGGTTAACTTAAAGACGAGGTCTTGAATGCTCTCTTGGCAAAGCCTTAAGAAATCTCAATACAGACCCAACAAAGGATGAAAATCGGAGGCCTGTGTCACAAAGCAAGATTAGTGGCTTTTCCAGCTATCTTTGGTTAACTCTGGCTTTCTAGTAAACGGGCACACTTTTAGCAAGTGTAGATCACCATGGCAACCTACGCTGCTGCACTGCTAACCTGCCCATAGCAGGTACAGATCAGAGGACTGTATAGAAACGTACGAGCCTCCTGATCAGATCAGTGGAGAAATGGAGTCATTGTTCCTACAGCCTCCTGAGAGGGACAAAAATAATACTGCTTTTAAAATGTCCCAGTTTTCCATCTTTAAAGGGATTTCTTGGGGAGTTTTTTCTCACGGCAAATTGTGATTTGTGATTTTGGAATATAAAAATCTAATTTAACTTTAAAAAAAGAGTACATACTAGTATAGTAACTTTGCTTACAATGATAGCAGATTAGCTAGCTAACTAGTTAGCTAATCCACATCAATCATTAG